GATGCATGCTTGCTTTAAATTATTAATCACCATGATTAAACTATCTAATTGTTTTAGTGATTCGCGACCATTAGGGTTTTTAGACAAGTAATTTGATGCAATTTCTGTTGGAACATCACCCATTGAGGAAGGCTCCTTGTGATTAGTAATTGAAAGTTCACTTAAGGCGAACATCACACTCTTAAAGATTGCATGGTTTTTTAGAGGGTTTTCACAAAACTTAATGAGTTTTGTATGTTTAGATTTGATCTGAACATCACAGATGGGTTGCATGTTAGATCTACATTTTCGCTTGAATATCACAAGGAAAATATGTATTAGGAAAGCCTAACCTTCAAATCATGTATGTAGAAATTCATAAGTAATTGGTAGAATTGCATAGGATTGTTAATGGTGACGGCAAAACCCTAGTGTTTAAATTATTTTCCAAAACATTTTTTTTTTTTGTTTGCTTTACTTTGCCAATTATTTAATTGTTTTTATTTAAATTCGTTTTTATTATTTTAAATTCCAAAATCAACCTTTTTGAAACCTTGTTCTAAATAATTAGCTAAGGATTAGTTTAAATACAAATTATTCATTCAATCCTCGTGGAAAATGAGCTTACTTGAGAACAAAGAGTTAGTATTGAAGTCATACCAAATCATACATATGAGAACAAAGCACCTAGTAGCATGAGAAGTTCTATATCAAGCAAGATAAGTCCAAGTGATTTCCCCAATTGGACATAATACCATCCCAAAGTTTTGACAACAATGCAAATGAAGAAGCTTAACCTTTGATAATGGTCAACAACATGGAGAATTTGCAAAGGGAGAATGAAAAACTGAAAATGGAGTTGTCCAAATTGAATATCAGGTGTGAGGTTGCTGAAGTAACTACTGATTTACTGTCCAAATCAGTCAACATTGTTGAAAGTTCCCTTGAAAAGTTACAGACTGAAAAAAAAATGTACTTGAAGCTGAGACCACACGTTGAGAAAGGAAATTGCATGACTATGTAATGGTGATCTAGAAATTGGAATGTCACCACAATGATCCATGGTAAGAGGATTAAAAAATAAACAACAAAAGAAGGTGGTCTTTGAAGATTTTGAATGTGAACCTTTGGTTAAAAGGACACCAACGAACCGTTCAAAAGGGAAGTGTGATGGGTGTTCACCTATGATAAAAAAACATTGGCTTTATTATTGAAGATGGAGGTGTTGGTTATAACCAAGCCAATTTAATCAAAAAGAGGAAGCATGAACCGGTTGAATACTACAACAACAAAACAGATGGTACGAACCAGAATGAAAATATTCAAACCATGGTTGAGGACCGCAAAAGGAAAAACCAATGGCTACACTGAACCCCTCACTTGACATATTGAGTAATAATGTTGGAAAATGCCTAGATGGAAAAGACATGGAGAAACTTGACAAATATCTTAGATGCACTACGTCCAGGTGAGTCCACATTTATCTTAATTGTTTTAATGCCATGTTGCATGCACTTTATGTATGCACTTTATGTTTGATGGAATGTATTATGTCAAAAAATATTTACATGTTTGTTCATATGGGTAACCCAAAGTGAACCGTTATGGGAGGGTGATGTGGCTACTGTATTCAAACAAGATGTTGAGTTCTTGCTAAAAGAATTAGGACTGCACCTGTGTTAGTTTATATATATTAAAAGGAGTTAGTACCTTCAAAGTAACCAATTACTTGTTGGCCTTTATAACTAGTTGAATTGATTTTCAATATGACAAATGCACGCAGGTTATCGATGCATTTTCTGAGATACTTTCAATTCACTAGTCACTAGATCCAACAAGGAAAATGAAATGGTTGTTTATGCCCACACATTGTTGGGTAAAAGTATGAGTCATATTTATTAATGGTTGAAAGTAAAAACTAACATGGTTTTAGTAGTCAGTACCAAGGATACAATGCATATTTTCTTAATTTTCTACTTTTAAGTTTGGTCGTTCCAATGGCTGTTTAGGTTTACTCAATTAGGTCAGATTCACTAGTTTTAATTGTAGGAATACATGATATGTGGTGAAATCCAACAACTAGAACAAATGTTAATGGATATGTTGATACCAAATCTTGGAATGAGTGATTTCGTTTTCATTCCTTTGAGGCACCAAACTGTTTGACATTCACTCTGATGGTCCTTATAACAAAGAAACACAAATGGCATCATTACAATCCATTGACAATTGGGGACAAATTAAACGACAAGTGCTACGAAGATGCTCAGAATATGGTAAGTAACAACCACTTCAAATTTGTTTGGGATATTTCCTTTAGAACATAACACTAACATCGGTATTTGGGTTGCAACATAAGACGGTGATTGAATTTCTGAAGCGGAATCAAGTAAACGGAAGGTTAGCTTTAACAACAGGAGTGGTAGAAAAATTGGTTAAAAAAGGAAAGGGAAAACCATAATAGTGAGGGAGCTATTGAAAATGGGGGAGAAGGAAACATATATCTTTCTGAGCCATGCAGGTACATAGTATCCCCTTTCCTTGAGCCCAGTTTGACCACAACAAGGTGAATCATCGTACGTGTTCTAAATTCTCTTCCCATTCAAATTGTTTTACATTGTACATATATTAGTGTTTGATATTCATTTGATGACTCTCAGGGTTGACTGTGTTGTGGCTATTATGTACTACCTGCAACATTTAGCAGAAGAAATGCCACTAAAAAGCATTTTTGTGGAGGGTGAACTTACAAAGATGAGGGCAAAGATCATAAGTATGATGCTAAATGCACCGAGAGGGAGATGAATGAAGTAGTTGGAGCCTTTGTAACCAAAAAGAATAAGTAGCTGGAGTTCTAGTTACATTTCATCAATGACAATAGTATGTTAATGTTGAGCATCTTTGTTGGAACAAGTATTATCGTAGTTAGTTTTTTTTTTTTTTTTAAATTATGAATTAACATTCACGGGTGTACTGATTAATGATTTCACATCTGGTATGAATTAAATTTCTGAGTTCATGATTTGATCAATTAGTTTGAGTTAATTTTGATTTGTAACTATATGGTGCTTAATTTTTTGATCACTTAGTATTATGTTGTGTGACACGAAGACTGTAGAACCCACTTTTTTTTGTTGCTGCATGACGTCAAAAACAATGAATTGGGTATCGAACTTGATGCCGTGTACTTCATATTTTTCATAGTTTGCGATTTTAGAAATTTTGCAATTGCATGATGCATATGTTATTGTACCTTCTTATTTTTCATGGTTTGAATTTTTTTTTTGTCACTTCGGATGTAAAATTAAGCAAAATTTCATTTGTTTATTATTTAAAAAATGAAATGAAAAAGAAAGTCGCTTTAATTAGCTGAAATCAAGGGATTTCTTAACCATTGATTACAATGATACAATGGAAATGAAAAATCTCTAATAATCGTGGCATTATGAGACAAATTAACCATTGTAATCTGCAAAAAGCAAGGGATTTCATTAACCATTACAATCAGCCAAATTGTGGGCACAATTAAATAGATTTGCCAGTTGCTGTTTTGTAAAGGAAATTCATAACCATTGTAATAAAAAACATAGGGAGACTTTGGATGCGGTTCTTAGCTATGAATATTCTTTGATTGAAACCTTGTTGGTTTTTAATTTTTGATCGAGATCCCTGAAATCAACGTGATAATTTATTTCTATGTACGTTACTATATTTTTTAAATTAAAAATTAGAAATTTTAGTTGTTTATATAAATGAGATTTTAAATAAAAAACCATAATTTGTGGGGTTAAAAATATTAAAATATAAATATACTATTGTGTGTGTTTATATATATATATATATATATAAACATGGGTACATTCATCAAAATTAACCAAAAAAATTATTGAATCAAAACATGGGTACATTCTTCAAAATAAAAAAATAAAAAATAAAAAAAGATATTAGGCTTAATAACGTTAGTAAATTTTTTTGATTAAACTTGACATGGATACATTTTAAAATCAAAGAAAAAAGAATGTACCCATATAAGTTTAAAAAATGTATTAAAAAAATTTGAATAGATTTTATATATAAAAAAAAAAGGGTACATTTTACATATAACAAAATAAAAAGTTTTACATGAATAGGTACATATAATTAGCATGGGTACATTTAGCAAAAATAAAAAGTACAAATAAAAAATATATAGGTACAAATACTAATAAACTTTAAAAAATATGGGCACAAAAAGAAATTAATATATGGGTACAAATTAAAACTGAAAAGAAAATTGGTACAAATTAAAAAAGAATTACAAATTAAAAATGGGTACAAACTAAAACTAAAAATATATGATAAAAAATTTATTCATAAATATAAATATACTAATTGTAACATTTTTAACATTAAATGATTATATTTAGAAATAAAAAAATATTTTATTATTGAAATAATTAATGATGTTAGTAATACCCAAGGACCTTGATCAAAAAATGTAAAGGAATAGGATTTTAATTAATGGAATAGCAAAAGGAAGGATGAAAACCTAATTTCTCCAAAAACATATCATACTCATTATTGACATTTCAAAATTAATCAACCTTGACCATTGAAATTCACACAAGTTAATCATTTGTAAGTCATATAAACTAAACCTATCTGACAGTACCTAAACTTTCAAGGGCAACACGAATTGGTGTTGTCATGGACAACACCGAATTAACCATTGTTGCAATTGGAGAACTTATGTTTGCTCATGTCTCTGAGCTTGACAATGACTTTTACAACAATGGGTTGCCAAGAAATTACAAAAAAGAAAGCTAATATTTTTGTGGGTACGATTTGGTATCAACACTTGTGTAGGTGCAATTGAATAGGTTTGGAAAAACTAAAACGAGACACCATTTCATTTAAAAGTAAATCTTTATTCTAAACTCTTTATTGATAACCAAATGGAAACATAGTTCTAGGAGTAACAAAACTAAAATCGCTGAAACAAACATAGTTCTATTGCCAAGATAAATTGAAAAGATAAGCTCTCAAATTTGGGCTTGACATGTGCGGGAATTATGCTGCCCGATTCGATGACACCTCCCACATGTTATCGACCTTGATTGTTCGCCAATTGATTTCATCATCTTAAGCTTTGGCCTCCCAGATTGTTTTTTGGTCAATGGTGGTTCCACAACAATTTCTTCATGTTCATTAATATCATGTCTTTCAATGTTCAGAATTGAATATATTGGGAAAGAGTACGAAGACTTGTAGTATTCATCGGTGAAGAAATCTTCAACATAGTCATAAGGATTTCCATCATCCTTTATAATTGCAGCCACTGCAAGCTCACATAAAAACCCTTTGATTTGCCATTGATAACATGAACAGAAACGCTTTTGCAAATCCACCATCATTGAAATGTCATTGTGTACCTCAAAAACAGATAGACTTGACCTATTAATTTCCCAATGCTTGCCAACTTCCAAAACTTGATTAAGGTGTTCCATCTCAGGGCATAGAAATGTATTCCAATTGTGTGCTGCTCGAAACCGTTCAAAGTTCATTTCCATCATCTTCACTCTAATACCATCAACCAATTGATAAATGGGCAAAGATCATTCTTCACATATCCAAGAATTAAAAGATTCTGCAACATTAGACCACATTTCTCCGTACCTATATAAGGGAATGGTGATTAATATATAAACCTCATTCCATAACCAAAGATGAAAGAGAAAATAAAAACTGAAAAATGCATATACTTGGCACCTTCAAAAAACGCATTAGACCAATTTTCTTTTGAAAGACTATCCAAGAAAGTACTCATTAAGGATCCACCTTCATCCTTTAGAACCCTTAGGTGCATATCAAAGGCTTCTGGGGTAGGTGCATAAGCACACTTGCAAAACAAATGCACAATATGGTCCCTAAAAATTTTGCCACAACCAGTAGGATATTTACTGAAGACATTTCTTTTCAAATGTTCCAAACAAAAAGCATGATGAAAATGCGGAAAAACTGTAACCACAGACTCAAGCAACCCCTTATTCTTATCTGAAACAAAAGTAATTATCCATTCCTGCGGTGTTAACATATAGGACAATTGCTCCATGAACGATGCCCAATTTCTTCATTCTCAAGATCAACCATGGCAAATGTACATAGTTTTTCACGTTGTAATCACAAAGTATATGGAACTATGATGTTATGTTGCGTGTTTATTATTTGATTGTCTAAGGTTTGTGTGGGTGAATGTTCAAGGCCATAGCTTATTAGTTGTTCTTATGATACATTTACTTGCATGTAGTTTAATATTCTAGTAGATAGGTGCTGAGTTTCCTCTACTCATGCGTCATAGGTCTGAAACTCCCCATCTTCAAAATTATTGTAATAGTTTCCAATCTTCCACTCTCCTTAATAATAATAAATTAAAATAAAACATAAAACAATGTTTACTTGGAATGAATATTTATTAGAAATTTAAAATTATTTCAGTTCCTAAATTCATGTGTTAGTAAAAACATGAATATTGGAATTATTCTAATTTCGACTGGTGTTTACTAATGCACAAAATAAAGAAAATTTTGTTCTTACATTATAATCAGTAATTTAATACTTGAAAATATCATTCTCACATTATAATCGGTAATTAGTACTTGAAAATTGACTTGCTCTTTCCTGTATGAATGTTATAAAAAACAAAGTTATGTGTTTAGATGAAATTTTGAAAAATCACATACCTCACTTTGATGCAGGATGTCTCATTGCTCATTTGCATGTACTGCTCATTTTTTTACTTTTTCTTACTGGTTTTGAAACCCTTACGTCTCATTCTTCATTTTCTTGCTTGTAGATCACTGACAACCTCCGTTTGTGAAACATTGAAAAAACGAACAAATGTCTAAAATTTGAGATTTGATGAGTTTGAACAGATGTAGATGATTGGTGTGAACATATGATGTAGTTTGAAGGCTTTTTATGGAGAATTCAAAGGATATTAGAAGATCAGATAAGAACATGTGACACAAGGGAAGTTGTTGACAACTTATTAAAAATCTAAGGGAAGATGTTTAATAGCTAATGACACGTGACCCGACGAGAGTGGTTAATTGATAACCGAAGCCAATAATGATACATGAAGGATCAACAAAGCACGTTGGGTCATGCAAATATAAATTTATAATTTTTAAACCCAACAGTCAAGAAGGGCAACTAAATTCTCACTTTAGTGTACAAATTTTTTCTACCAGCACTTTAGTGGAGGATTAGACCTTCAAATTTATTGAGTGAATAAATTGATTCAATTTCAACAGTATATATGCAATATGAAAAAATTAAGACCTTGTTTTAAAACGAATCTTAAACTTGAAAAGTGTGAAATATAATTTGCCTTAAATTATACAAAAAACTGATGTTCTTCATACTATTCTAGATACAAGAAAAGAATCGAGCTCTACCATAAAAGAATTAGCTTTAATATACAAATGATATTCTACACTAAACGGAGGAGAAATGTTTGAACTAGAACACAATGAGTTAAAAAGTAAAACCTTACCACCATGAATCTTACAAAAAATACATTGCTCAAAAAGTATCACGGGAAATAAAAAAAATTAAGAAAGAAGTGGGCCTCAATAAAAAAACCTCATCGGATAAAACTTCAGACAGAAAAAAAAAAAACCACTGATGCTTCTTCTATTTGCAATTCACATTGTTGTTTTTTTATCCAACTAACTATTAATAGAATCCTCTTTGTCAACCAAAAGATGATGAAAAGACTATTTAGTCTTTTATAGCAGAGAAAAATAATGGACAATAATGTAATTTACAAAACCAAATTTTGTTGTTTTTTTATTGAAACCTCCTCTACCGATTATAGGTGATTTTAGCATATATCTAATATTAAAAAATAAAAAATAAAATAAAAAACATCTCTTCTCACTCCCACTCCACCGCTCCCTCTCTCCCTCACTCCTTCCTATTTTAAAAACAAAACTAAAAAATATTCATTCACACAAAGTGTGTAGGCATATGTTAGCGAAAGTAGGGAAGAACAATACCCAACGTTGCAAACGGGCCAATCCAATCTAATCCCATTTGTTAGCCCTTCATCTCCTGCCCGAATATATTGGGCCGAGCCGACGCCCGCCAATTTTTACATACCTATTCTCGGCCACAACGCCGTCGTATCAAGTACTCTCCATTCTCCTCTCTGCAAAGATAGTAAAAGGCTTGCCGAGCTTCTCCATCGTTTTTTCATCATCTCCCAAAACCTTCGCGCAGGGAACCGAACGGATTTTCGTTCTTCTGGATTTGAATTCGGGTTCGGAGCAATGACGGTGGCGAGCTCAGTGGTCCACGAAGTGCTGGGCCGGCGGGCCGAGGACGTCGACGAGCCCATAATCGAGTACATCGTTAACGTCCTCGCCGACGAGGACTTCGATTTCGGCGACGACGGTGAAGGCGCCTTCGACGCTCTCGGCGAGCTCCTCGTCGGAGCCGGCTGTGTTAGCGACTTCGCTGAGTGCCGCTCGGTGAGTTTTTTTTCTTTCTTTAATTTGATTTGTCTGTTTGGCTGCTCAGAAAATGCTGGAAAGTGGAAAGGAAAGAAACACTGGTAGCTGTAAAACGTTTATTTGGATCTGTTTGATCATAAAGGAATTATTTTTTGGGAATTGTTGGCTTTATGTTGTTAGCTCAGAGAAAAGACTTCTGATTGGGTTGCTTGTGGAAATTAACAATGCTAGTTATGGTGATTCCAGTATATGTGGTTTTGCAAGCTTGATTTTTGTATTGTTCTTGAAATTTTTGGAGGTTTGATGTAGGTTTGTGGTATGATATCCAAAAAGTTTGCATTTTTCCGATTAATTTGATATGGTCCATTTGGCCGCTCAGAAAATGCTTGGAAGGAAAGTTTTTTAAACTGGTTTTGTAGGAGTAGAGTACTGGATTATTTACTATCGGAGCTTTATAGAGTTCGTTTTGAATCTGTTGATCGTAAAAAAATGTTTATTTTATTTTATGGAATTATAGGCCTTTTGTTCTTATTTAAGTGAAAATTTATTGTTACGCATTGTGGAGGCGAGGCTTGCTTGTGGAAATTAACAATGCTAGTTATGTTAGTTCTTGGAACCGTGGTTTTGCAATCTTTTGTTTTGTATTGTTCTTGACACTTGTGGAGGTTGACGTAGGTTTGTAGTATAATATCCGAGAAGTTCGGGAAACATGGGTTGGTTAAAGCTAAACCGACTGTGCGGAGCCTATCAGCACCAGTAAGAATGGATGATGGGATGGATGAGAAGGTAGCTCCAAAGAAGAAGGTTGAGGTGATTGATGGCCCTCTGTTAACTGAACGTGACCGAGCTAAGATAGAGAGGAAAAAGAGGAAGGATGATCGCCAAAGAGAGGTAATGTTTCTGGTAGATATTTAGCATGTGAGTTGTACTATTATATCCTAATGTTTATGTGAGATTTTTTTGTGATATTGAGGAGCAAGATTACTGGTCCATGTTGAGTTTGGATATGCTTAGATTGAGATAATATCCAAGCTAGGTTGTTGTCCGTGCTGAGGATTTAAATATTTGAAAAATTGGTTTAGTTTTTTGTAATTTTTATATATTCTCCTTTTCAATGAACAGCAACAATATCAAATACATTTAGCTGAAATGGAAGCAGTCAGGGCAGGAATGCCTGTTGTATCCGTAAATCATGAAAGTGCTGGTGGCCCAAATGTCAGGGATATCCGTCTGGAAAACTTCAATGTTTCTGTGGGTGGCCGTGATCTAATTGTGGATGGTTCAGTAACACTTTCTTTTGGAAGGCATTATGGTGAGTTTGCTTTTCAATGTTTTATGATCCTCTTTATTTGGTTTCAAAATTGAGAGGGCCATCTGTTAGAGTTTCCAAAATGATTTTATGATACTTGTAGCTTCTTATATCTAGGGCTGTTGAACAATGCTGTAGTTGTAAACTTTTATTGATCTTTCCACAATTTATGCAGGCCTTGTTGGAAGAAATGGTACGGGGAAAACGACGTTTCTTAGGCACTTGGCTATGCATGCCATTGACGGCATTCCTAGGAACTTCCAAATATTGCATGTGGAGCAAGAAGTGGTGGGTGATGATACAACAGCCTTGCAGTGTGTTCTTAACACTGATGTTGAAAGAACAAAGCTTTTGGAAGAAGAAGCTCGTCTTCTCGCCCAACAGGTTGGATGCAGAGTTGTTCTTAATTAGAAGGGAGCTGCTGATGTGGAAACATTTAGCTTTTCTGTTTATGTTTTTTTATGGGTATGCTCTTTCACTGTGCTTAATAAATTACTTTAACCTGAAGAGAGCACTGGAGTTTGAGGACTCAACAGAAAAGAGTAACGGGGAAGTTGAGAAAGATGCCATTGGGCAGAGGCTTCAGGAGATATACAAAAGGCTCGAGTTCATTGATGCTGATTCGGCAGAGTCACGGGCAGCTTCCATTCTTGCGGTCAGTTCTCCATTTATTGCTGCATCA